AACATGCACCTACAGCGGGTCAATTAGTTCTTCAAATGATACCTTTAAGTTAATTTAATTGTTTTGTGATATTAATAATGCTAATATATTGATATTTTTCTATTTTTGATCTATTTTTGCATCTGTTTAGCGTCGTCACAGTTGCTAGGTGACATGACGTACGCCGGGGTAAGGAGGGGAGGCTAGACCGTCCAAATTCAGCTTCTTTTTTTCCYGTCTTCCCGGTCTACCAAGGACCCGGCCCGCCTCGACTGGGTAGTTTGGGTCCTCCAGAGGACCCGGCCTGTCGTTTTGGACACAGCCAATGAGTCATTTCTACATTCTAGTCTGTCAACGCGTTCTGGTTTTATTTAAAAGGGCCGATCAGCAGAAATTGTCCAAAACTAACCTTTAGGGTGAACAAGAGCTTGCAGCCTTGCACCGGAACACCTAATAAAAGTCATCATTTATCTGGTATGCTTTGCGGCGTTAATAAAATGGCACTGTCAGTGTAACAGTATATATTGTTTTAATTTAAAAAAAACTAAACAATCATTGTTTTACAATTGAAGTAAATGTTTTTTAAATGTTCCAACTAGTCAGGGTTCCCTTTAAAATGGTGTTGATTTGAACTATACAAGGTGGATGTAGTGTAACCCTCAGCTGAGACGAATCAGCCAAAAAATATTGAACTTGGGAGTCTTTTGAAGAAATGTTTGCTATATTTTCAGAGATGGGTCAGAATTCTGCGCAGCTGACGTTGTTTTGAGAGGTCACAAGGAAGCTCGAGACGAAGACGTCCCTTCAGCCTTTGGACAGARGTGGCCGAACGTGGACGTTTCAGTTGGGGAGCGTGTCCAGTCCCAGCGAGGCTGCGTGCTGCTTGGCCCGCAGACGGAGGTTCTCGATGCTGGTGGTCTTGCTGTTGAGGCTCCCCGGGAGGCCGCCTGGAGTCGCCTGCAGCAGCGGGCTGCTCCACACCTGCTGGGCCTGCGACAAGTTCTGGTAGTAGGACTGGCAGGGCAGCGAGCCCAGAGGGGAGGGCATGTTGACGTTCATGCCGAGGTACGGCAGGGAGGACGGCGCGCTCATGTCAAAGGACGGGTAATGGACGAGGTTGTTGGTGGCTGCCATGTGCTGCCGGAACTGCTCCTGCAGCCGGAAGAGGCTGAGCGGGGACGAAGCGTAGGAGTTGCTCTGAGCCAAACCGCTTGCGAGGCTGCTGGAGGACGCCAAGGCGGGAGAGCTCAGTGGAGACTCTGATCAACAGAGGAGAGAAGGAGAACTTTAGCATTCCTGCACACGTGCTTCTAAACTGAGACTTTCTGCGTTTGTACCTGATGAGGGACTGAGTTGTTTGCAGGACGGAGAGCTGCTCCCCGCGTCTGTCGCCCGCTCCCCTTGCACCTCCTCCCGGAGCTTCACCCTCGGCTCCCCACTCGTTTCCTCCTCCTCTCTGTCGGCGTTGTCTTCTGCTGCCGACTCGCTGTCCGACGGCTCCGGGGAGGTGACGTTCACTTCTACGCTCATCTCGGCCGGCTGGGGCCCGGACGCCGCCATGGGCTCCGGCTCTGAGTGACAGGAGGAAGAGGAGGAAGGAGGAGGAGGAGGCGTGCGGGCCTCGGGAACCACTGGGGTAGTGGTGGCGGCGGTGCTGGTCGTGAGGTCAGTTTTGGAATCCTCCGAGGAGCCCTCGGCAACTCCGGATGCTTCTTTCTGCTTCTGGAGCTGCTCCTTCTGGAGGCTGCGCTGCTTCTTACGAAACTTGGCTCGACGATTCTTGAACCAAACCTGAAAAATCCAGTCGTTTACAACTGCTTCTTCACACATCTCATCTTTTTCTACGTCCTTATGATAAGGAAGCAAACAGATAAAGGAGCACTTTCTTTGTTACCTGCACACGGGCTTCAGGCAGGTTGGTGCACATGGCCAGGCGTTCTCGCATCACCACGTCCGGGTAGTGGGTCTTCTGGAAGGTTTTCTCCAGAGCCTCCAGCTGCTGAGCAGTGAACGCCGTCCGACTACGCCGCTGCTTTCGATGCTGGGAACCATACCGGGCCTCGAGGATAATGTCTTGAAATGTACAACCGTTGAGAAATAAAGGAACATGACCAGTTTAATTCAAGGGACAGGTCAAAGGTCGGCTTTCCCAGCGTTTAAACGAGCAAGGCTGATGGGAAAGTTTCAAAGAGGGGAAAACGAGCATCTGTTTCTTACCAGCCAGTCTCTCTGCCAGGGTGAGCGCGTGCACTGACGGCCTGTAGTCGGGCGCGTGCTGCGCTTGCTGCGCCGCCTGCTGGTGGAGGTTGTACATGGCGCTCAGCGAGTTCATGGCGTGGAGAGAATACCCGTTCACCCCGTAGTGCTGCATGGTCCAGCCTGCTGTCTGCACAGAGGACAGGCTGCTGTTAGGAGACATCATCGAAAAACATCATCGAAAAACATCGTCTCTACACGGAAGTGATAAAAATATTTGTTGKATCTATTATTATTTTTTATCAAACAGCAGAACAAAATGAAATGAGAGCAATTAAAAAGTATTCCACACTCAAAAAATAAAATTAAAAAAAAACAGATGTAGTGGATTTAATTACAAGTTATCTCAACACATTTATTTTAGATAAATGTAAAGTTAATGTAAAGTAAATTTGTTACTTAATTCAGCTGAGTGGAACCAGTTGACAATTATTTATTTTTAAGTAAGTCCACTACATCTCTTTGTTGAGTGCAAAAGGTTTTTTTTTTTATGAAAAGAAAATATGCAGATTATTGAACTGTTTATGTAATTAAACATTGTCTGAGGCTCACTAAAACTGAAAGATGCATTTAAATGAAACATTGTTCATTTTGTACTATGGAAAAAACTCATTTGTGGATTAAATTAATTTTTTTAGGTTTTGTTAAATAAATGCAAATAATGTACTAAACAATTTGAAAAACACTGAATGTACAATTTTGTCTTTTTACTTGAATGTTAATTTGTATGTCTTGAAATCAAAGTAATTGTAATAT